TTTTTTCATTTTATATTTTATTTTTGCCTTGGTCGTTTGTTTTATTTTCGCTGGCATTGTTGTTTGTTATGGCTGGCTTTTGTTGCAGCAGCAGCGAGCTGAACTATGAATGCAATTTCGTAAATTATTTTCCTTTTAAGTAATTATTAAGGTGTGGTCCGGTTCGTTCGCTTGGCTACGCGTTGTAGTCTTCTTCAACGCCGTCAGAGTCAGAGTCGGAGTCAGTTTAACAGTTTGCCAAACACAAAAGCACGCGGTTTGCCATTGTTTTTGTTGTTTTTGTTGTTAATACTTATTGTTTTGTTTACTATTTTGTTACCGACTACTGTATTTCGAGTTATTCATCCATTATACACCATTTAACTAATAACAGGGCTACGTCTACTCTATGGACTGTGCACGCTGTCAAGCGTTATTTTTGCCATCAGTCATTTGCTCATCATTCATTCACTCAGTCAGTCAGTCAGTCAATCAGTCACTCAGTCAGTCAGTCCGTTAGTTAGTTATTCAGTTTAGTCGTTTATTAAGTCACTCGAGTCATTCATTTGTTGCGCGCGCGCCTTGCACATCCTTTCCATCAAAGTATTAATAAATATTGCATTAGTGGGTGTTGACCACGGCGCAACACTAAAGCCGTCGGCTTTATGGCCTTTAATGCCACAGTTGCCGCTTAATTAGTTGCCGTTGTCATTATCGGTGAACTGTGCCACCGTGTCTTGTGTCTTGATAAGATAGTTGGTTGCTGGGGCCAAGCTGAGCGCTCGGCTCTGCAATTTTGGGGAATTTGCGACTGTTTAATATCTGTAAATTGGCAGTTGTCTTCCCGTTTAAGCGCTTTGCGGCGCTGCTGTTTTATCAATCAATCTGTTGGCAGTATCCATGGACGACTGGCACACGACAGTAGACACCTAACAAATTGATCAGCGTCAACTGCGCTGATTTCTAACAACAAACGGCAAATCGCCTCACTTTGGGCCGACAGCATGAATGGCAAATTACAAACAGTTAACTAGCTAACAACAGCAACAACAATCAAAGCGTACAAATTTGCTGTAATACAACAACAATTACATTAAAACGCGACCATAAACGTGCCAAGCCAAGAACAACAACCACAACAACAGCGAAAAGCAGCTTGGACTTGACTTAGCCAAAATGAAGCCGCAAAGTTTGACGATGTTGCAGCAGCAGCAGCAGCGGCTGTGGCAGGCGCTACCAAAGTCATTCCACACCTTGTAAAATCAACAAAAAGGCAGCCAAGAAGCAGCAGCACACACACACACACACACACATAGACAGAGAGATGCAGGCGTGCAATTTGCGGCCGCAGCCTAGAAAAATAATTGCATGTGGATGCAGGGCAGGGAACAGCGCGCAATGGCTGTGGCATGGCGTGAGGTGGGACGATTGAGGGGTGTTGCGGGGCGTGGGGAAATGGGCCTAAGCCGCGTCATTTATGACGACGACGCGGCATTTGCTGCAAGTGCAAGTGCAGCTGTAACATTAACATGCAACCGATGGCAAAGGCGACGGCAACGACGGCGACGGCGGCGGCGACGTTGGCGCTGCTGAGATGCAGATGCATTCAACGTCATTGTTGTTGCTGTTGTTGTTGTTTTAGTTGTTATTGTTGTAGTTACTGGCAGGCAGCAGGCAGCAGGTGAATTGCACGATTTTCAATGCAAAAGTCAAGAGCGCCAACGGAAAAAAGTCGTTAGCCAAGTTTTCTGCATAGCCCAGTCAGTTGTAACTATTTTGCAGTGTTTTGTTGTTGTTGTCGTTGCTTTTATGGCTAGAACTGTAGCAGCAGGCGCATGTGGCAACTTAACTTGCCAGGGCATTTGCTGCAAGTTTGACCAGCCAAACAGCCGGCTGCATTTTCGACTCAAGTCGAGTCGAGTCGAGTGTTTGGTAGCAGCTTCCTTTTGGCAGCTTGCTTGACGGTTGTCTGTGGCTGCCTGCACTCCTAGCTCCTAGCTCCTAGCTCGTAGCTGCTAGCTCTACCCTTATCCACAACATCTATACCAACATATACAGATCTGCATGCCAGCAGAGACAGCTGTTTCCGTTTGTTAAATGTTTGGTAGCCCAATGATTGGCAACCGATTGCCAAGCGGCCAAAAGACATTGATGTTGCCTGGCATTTAATGTCTGGCATTGTGGCTACCAGCTAATTACGTTTCATTTACTTACAACAAACCAGGCGCTGTGTGTGGCGAGCGCCAGCCTCAAGCCAATTCCGATTTGCAACAGTTTGGCAGCGTTTTGGCCAAGTCAGCAGTTTGCAGTTTCCAGTTCGCAGCTCGCTTTGTTTGCCAGTTTTTTTGTTTCCGAGGGTATTATGATTTTGTCAAGCAATTAAGTAGAAAACTTCACGTACAAAGTTATATATTCTTGAACGGTAACAACAACCAAGCCGATATAGTCATATTTGTCTTGTTGCTAACTAGCCTCTCAGTTATAGGACTAACTAAAGCTAAAACAGTTCTAAGACTAACCAAGGCTAAGGCTATATGACACCTGAGACTACATACAATATCATACAGGTATGATCAGGCAATAATTACGCAATAATTAATTTTTTTGATAAATGGTTGTCTTTCTAGATAATCTAATCAAACTTAGCACTGACGAGCCTAGCTATGCTCAACCACAAGGCACTTCTGCAAGGGCATTTAAACTTCGGCGGGTCAATCTTTCGTTTGTTTTTTATTTATATTTTATATGCACACTTATTTTTTTGTTTTGTTATAAAATGTATTTAATGTTCACACATTTGTCACGTTGTTATTTTAGTTTGTTTATGATGCATTGCACTTATTTATGGCACACACACATTTTGCTGCCATTGCATTGCCGCTTGTTATCTTTTGCCCAAATGGTAAACACTTTGGGGAGTTCGAGTTGCCATTATCTATTTCGTATGTGGCAAAAGCAGCTGCTAACGAAATTTGATCAGCAAGTACTATTTACACATTTGTTTTATATTTCATTAAAAATTAGCGGCACGAGTTCTACGAAAAGAACGAAAAATAAAGTAGAAAAAACAACAAACTGCAGCTTTGCAAGTGCGTAAACCAAATGAAATTAAAATTTTATTTAATTTATGCTTTTTTCGGCTGTTGACCAAAAATTTATAAATAAAGGAAACAAAATGAAATATTAAGCAATAAATAGCATGACAAATGATTAATCATGCGAGTTTTTGAGTCATTTTAAAATGCTTTTCAGTGGTTTTTGTGCCGCGGCTAAAGTTAAGAAAATATCACAAAAGCAGATTTATAAGAAGAAGCTATTAGAAAAATCTATAGAGCACAAGTATAACCATATACTATACTAATTATTTTTTTTTATTTATTTATAATTTCAATTTGTGCGCCTCTAATTCATAATATGATGCGAGCAATAAAAGAAACTATAGAGAAATCATTATAGTTATTTACGACATATTGTAAATATAAGTATTGAAGCTTTTTGTGTGCGCTGTTATCAGCGCAACTTTTGTGGAAATCGCAAATACATACACACACACACACATGTATTTGTGGGTAGTATGTATGTGCATCATATATAAATATATATATATACATATAATAAAAATTAAATTGCGATAATTTGTACTATGCGCGTCAAGTCGCACAATTGTGCGGACTGCTAGCGACCGGAGTAGCAGCTGCAGCTGCACAGATTTTTTGTTTTATATATAATACTAAGTACTTTATAATATATATATATATATATATATATATATATATATTGAATGTATATACTATATGTGTGTATGCTTGCAAAGAAGTTTTCGTTCGTGGCGAAAATTTCAGCAACAAAAAATTAAATCAATTTTTTGCGCCTGATAAGAAGCGCAAAATATTTCCGCTTTGGGCGTTTTCTTTTTTTTTTTTTTTTTAATTTTATTTTTTTTTTTTTTTGCTGCGCGCAATACGTAAGGGTAAGTATATATGTGCCAATATGTATATATGTATATGTATGCATTATAAATTTTCATGTTTTCTTTGCGCGATTAACAAACAGGCAGCAACGCCTCATAAATACATTTATATATTTTTTTTTTGTTCAATAATTTGTTGCTTAATTTTTTGTTGTAGCTGCGAAGATTTCACAAGCAGCCGCCGTATCAGCGAGGCGAGCCGAAGTGTGGCCTCCGTCTCTGGGAGCTGTGTTGTCAGAGTAGTTGCTTTTTCGCAATTTGGGTCAGAATCGGCTGCGTCAGGCCACCTGATAAGGAACGTGCATACATGCAACCGCATGTATCTGATTAGCGTTAATGTGTGTCTGTATTGAAAACTATCTTTTTTTTGCGCTGGCATTTCGCGCTGGCTCTGTTTTAGATAGGTGAGCTTGATCTGGCATTTCGACAATGCTTCCGCTTAGGTGTTTCTCAATGAATTCGCTGATATTTATCACAATATCACAATCACAGCGCTGAGGCAGATATGCCTGCCATTTATATATGTATATAGCTATACCTGTATCTGTATCTATATCTATAGCCGGGCGAATGCACTTTGCAGTTGCTTAAACTTGTGTCCTTAAGTTCGCGTATCTTTTTTTTTGTGTGTGCACATTTGAGTATGCATGTATTTATGTATGTGTATCTGATAGGCTGCCGCATTGTGTATCTTTGTTTACACATTTCGCTTTCATTGTGTTGCTGTGGCTCGCGATTTATTTTTTTTTTGTTCATTGAAGGACAATGTCACCGAGGTTTTGCTGCAATTCGCTTGATTTATTGATAAGCGATCGTAGAACTTGGCCAGAAAGTGTAGTGAAAGGAGTTGCGCAAGGTTATTGATAATTACATTAAAAAAAAAAAATAGCTGAGCTAAGGGCAAAGGGCTATGGGGTGGGTTGTGGGTCTTACGTAGCTTCGAGCAAAGGCAGCTGCTGCCTTAGCCTTAGGCTTGGCCACAGACAAGTGTCTGCATTAATAAATAGTTAAATTTAAAATATCTTAACCAAGAATTGCATTAGATACGTACATAGTTCATAGCTGCTGATGTGCATAGCATCACATATATTCTTCTTAAATTACTTTTGCCCAAAAGCCAAATTGATGCGGATGCGGCTGCTGTCGATGCTGCTGCTGCCACTCACGTTGACTGCGCAGTCGATGTAAAAAACACAAAAAAGTAAATAAAGCAACAACAACAACAATTTACAGCCTCAGTGCTGGGCTCTCGGAGTTGTTGGGGCGTTTTGCTGTAATTGTGTCTCGGCTGCTGCGGCCGATGTTGTTGCTGCAGTTGTTGTTGCTGTTTCTGCTGTTGTTGTTGTTGGTGTTGCAGTTGGTGTTGCTGAGTAGTGCATACAATACATTTATATAGTGTATATAAGCATATAATTTTTTTTTTATATGTAGTGCCTATATACAATATAAATTCTCGTTTTTTTTGGTGCGCGCACAAAAGGCCAAATGCAGGCAATTATTATTGTTATTGTTATTGTTGTTGTTGTTGCTGCTGTTGTTGTTGCAGATTTTTTGATGCTATGTATTTTTTGGACTGTTGGCTGGCTGGTATTTTTCTTCTTTATTTTTTTTTTTAGTGTGGCGCACAAAGTAAATAATATGCACCGTAAAAAATGAAACGGTTTCAGCTTTTCTTTTTTCTTTCTAGTTGTAGTTGTTGTTGTTGTTATTTCTTTTTTATGTTCAATTTGCAGACAGCGGTAATTGTTGTTGTTGATGTTGTTTGTTGTTTTTTTTTTTCTTTTGTAATTTTGACAGTTGCCCGTTTGTTGTTGTTGTGTGTGTATTAATTATTATAATTATAATTTGTTGTATTTGGTGATATGTTTAAACATAACATTTAATATTTATGCAGCATTTCAAATAATTCAAAAGTAACTGCTACTTTTTTAATTATTTTTGCTAGTTTCTGTTGTAGTTGTTGTTGTTGGTGTTGTTAACGTTTTTGTTTTTGTTAATAGATTGCACTTTTACTTGTTGTAATTTGTTTTTGCTTTTGTTTTGCATTTAACTCAACATAAATTTAATAACAAAAATGTTTTTGTTGTTGCTATTTATTATCTAGAATAGCAAATAAAAATGATGAGCAACGGCTGTTGAGATACGTGTGAAAGGTGCTGAAAATTCGCGATCATAATCACTGCGTTGCGTATCTTAAAGATACATTTAATCAATTGCAACTATTCAAAAAATGCCTGCAAATTTACGTTTTTCAATTTAGTTATACTTTCGTTTAATCTGTTTTTTTTTTTTTTTTTACACTTCAGCTTAATAATTTGACTCTGCGCTCACGTTTCGCAGCAGCGCAGACTTTTTTCAATGAGCTGTTGATAAGATTGGGCGCCGCTTGGCATTTTTTTAGCTTTTATCAAACAAACTTAATGCTGCTGGAGAAAATAAAAAAAAAGAATGCAAAAAAACTCAACTAAATATCAAATGAAATTAGCAAGCTGCTGGGCTTAAGAGTTGGAAGTTGTGGGGGCATGCACAAGTCGAGGGCAGCTGAGGGAAAATTGCTCAAAATATTCGCTAGAAAAGTTGCGCAGAAAGTATATAAGAAAAAAACGTATAACAAGAACAACTGAAAACCATTGTAAATAGTAATTTAAGTTTTGGGCAAAAGGATATGGCAAAACAAAAAAAAAAAGCTAAGGTAGAAAACACAAAAAACGGTAGGAAAATGCTAACGAACGGAAGGTAAGCCAAAGAAATGCGAAAATCAAATGCTGCGCTGCACTCGGTTTAGACCAGCTGCTCTGCTGCCGCAGCCAGGTGGGGCGCACATGGGTTAAGCTTTAGCCAGGCATTTCAGTTGCTGCGCAGCTGCAGCGCATGGCCAATTCGCTGCTAGCCGGACAACCCAACCAGCCAGCTATTTTTTTTCGGGTATTTAATTTGCCATTTTTTCTAGCATATATCTGTGAGTACTTTCTTTTTTTTATTAATTTTTTTTTTGTTTTTCGCTACGTTTTATTATTTTTCGGTTCTCGTTCATTATGCTGTGCTGCAAAGCCCGACGGCAAAGTAAATGCCTGAGCACCCGGAGAGACCTAACCATTGTCATGGTGGAGCTACTGCAGCGGGCTTGGGCTTGGGCTTGGGGAGCTGCTACTGCTGCTTCTACTGTTGCTGCTGCTGCTGCTGCTGCTGTAGCGACTGGTTAAGTTGGTGGCGTCTCGTCTGTCTGACGAAAATTGAAACTGACAAAAATTTGTTACATTTTGCCTGCACATAAAGTTCGCCACCCACTGGGCAGCCACCCAACCACGTTTTACTACAGCACTTGCTGCTACTTCTACTCTACTTATATTTAGTTTTTTTTTTTTTTTTTTTTTGGCTGGTTTGTTTGTTTTGTTTTACTGCTGCTGCTGCTGCTGAAATTTGCCGCAGTTCATTTGTATGCTGAAGTACATTTTTTTTCGTCTTTAGTAATTTCTACTTTTTTATTTGAACTCTATTTTATATATTAAATTTGATTTTTTTTTCATTTTTGTTAAGCAAATTTGGCACGACAAATGAATTTTTTGCGCTTTGCTTTCTTTGGAACGTAACAAAAGTGCAGTGAAAATGTTGCGATATCGAATATGAGATGCGGTGCGTGATGTATTCGATTGGCAATGAAATTATTATATGCACATATATACATATACACATTATAAGTATATAACATGTCGATGTCTAGGCTTTATTTATTTACAATTTGCCGAAAATTTTTTGGATTTGCACGTCTTGTATTATTATTTATGTTGTTCTCTATATATATTTGGGGTTTTTTTCTTTAAATATATTTAAAACACAATTCTTTCGAATGGCATGTGCAGCTCGTTTGTCACATTTGTTGTGCCGATATTAATTATATAATTTTATTAACAATAAATTTAACGCACGCACACACTCACACACAGCGGCACACGCACACCACGGGGCAGTGCAACTATTCAACCAAAAGACCGAAATAAAAATGCATTCTATAAAAATTTTGCGAGTGCGCGAAAAAAAGTTTTCCGCGTTTTGCATGCCAGCGACAGCGGCGACGGCGACTGCGACGGTGACGGTGACGGTGACTGCGTTGACGACTGCGGCGGCGACTGCAGCAGCTAGCGAGCGCAGTTAAAACGCACACATATTAAAGCACACACACACACACGCATACACACAAGCTAAGACACGCACACACGCGGCGCAGCGACTGCAGCTTCGCTATTGTTGTTATTGTTATTGTTGTCGTAGTCGTTGTTGTTGTTGCTGTTGTTGTTGTCAGTTGTCAGTCAAGAACAACCGAAAAAAGCAACGCGCGGGCGACGCCTCTGTGGAAAGCCAAGTGCGTACATTGCCCAAAGGGCAGACGTTGCGTATACGCAATGTGTCACAGCTGCTGCTGCTGCTGCTGCCGCTGCGGTTCTGGTTTCCAAATTGAAATATTATGAGGGGGAGCCAATGAAATGTTGTCACTGCACATATTTTGATATACCATATATGAATTTAAAGTTATTGCATTTTCAGAATTGTCGCTTTTTGGTTTTGGTTAGTTTAACTTTTTGGACTTTATTTATTTTTATTTTATTTTTTTTTTGGCAATATTAAGTTTTGATTATGTTTGTGTTTTTGTTTGTTTTGACACTTTTTGGGCAGTTTCTTTTTGCTGTTTAGTAATTCTGTGGTTTTGAATTTGCCTGCGACTGATTGTGATGGAAATGTGGAATGCGCTTAATGCTTTACGATTGATATACGCGATCGTCGGACGCTACACCTCGGAACGACTCGGGCCGCGTCCGAAAATGCGTTCCGTTGCATATCGGATGCGTTGTGTTTATGCGACTGCCGAAGCCGACTGCAAAATTATATCACAACAACACGAAGACAGCGCTGACGACGACGACAGCGACGTCAAAATTGCATACAAGCGCATTCATGCTTGCAAAAAAAGAAGAAAAAAGCCCACAACTAGAATGCGAGAGAGCGCAACAGCAGCAGCAGCAAGAGAGCAAAAGAGAGGGTGAGCCAAGAGGGAGAGAGAGAGAAAGAAAGAGAGAGAGAGATGGAGAGGGAGAGCGAGAGAGTGCACGTTGAGTCATTGAGTGGCGCGCAAACGCGAGAACTTTAGGAGTAACAGCAGCAACGGGGTAAAGCCGCACGCATACACTCAACGGCCACACGGATATGAACATCAAGCCCAGCCGAGCCAAGCCGTGAGCGAGTGAGCGACCGAGCGAGCGAGAACCAGGCGAACAACGAGAGCCAAGTGCAATGTAATGCAATTCTCGCAAACTGCACGGACACCGCGGCGACTGCGACGCCAGCGCGCGTTGATAAAAAGCGAGCCGACTGCGCGCAGCGCTGCCAAAATAGCCGGTGCCGGAGTCAGTTGAGTAGTTGGCCAGTCCCAACTGTAGGCAACGCGGCGCTCAGCTGTCGCGGCCTGACATTGTTGACAATTGCTATAAGAAATGTAGCTTACAATTAACACAAACACAGACAAACACAAGCACTCACACACAAACACAGACACACGCATAGAGAACAAAAAAAGAATCACTCAAATTTGATGGCCATTCGCTCGCAGACACAGCTAGAACAATGCAAGCACACAGATAGAGAGGCACGCATACAATATCTCAAATTTAGTATTCACCACATTTTTTGTGTCGCTTTTTTATTTCGCACACGCACACAGTTGCTTAATAAGCAGCCACACACACATACATTCATAGTTATATGCACATATACACGTGTAAAAAATGCAACGCAGCTGCTGCGCTGCCGCGTCGCTGTCATGGCAATTAGCTAGACTTTTTTTGGTGAAGAGTGGAGCAGGGGGGCGGGCGGCTTGTAGCTTGGGCTTTGCCTTAAAACAATGCGGGTTTTTTGTTCCAACAAATGTTTAATGTACATTTACATATATTTTAATAAATTAAATATTAATAATTAAATAATAAATAAATTATCTTGTACAGATTATGTTGTAAATATAAATATGTTTAAATTAGGGCTTACTACTAATAATAAACAAATACAATTGAAAAATCGGGGAATTCCCTTTAAATATTTGCAAGTATTTTGCAAGTTGTGATTCACCTTTTACATATAATATACAATATACTTATCTGCAAATGCCTACAGATAAGTCTCCAATGAAATACATTTTAAAAGATATTCATACATTTTAACATACATACATATGCACTTTTATACGTACGTTTGCCAATTTGAGTATTATGCAGGCTCCTCACAAAAATTACGCTCAGAAATTAACCAACAGCAACAACAAAAACAAAAAACTCGCTCACTCACACATTAATAATGAGAGCGCCACTGAGCAAGAGAATTCACCAGTGCCGCTTAAACTGCTCTCCGCAAAGCACAAGAATTGCATTTCCTGCTCATTAATGACGCCGCGTGGTGAGTTGCCCGTTTCCCCATGCGCTACAGAGACCCACTCCCTGTTGTCGTGCTTGACTCAAGAACTCTGCTCAAAAGTGGCTCATAAGCTGAGCAATGCAACATGTAAATGAGCTTGAGCGTAGCTTTGCTTTTTGATTTTGTTTCTTTTCTTAGTTTTTTCTTTTTTTTTTTTTTGGCCTGTTTGTTGTGGGTCGCCTTGTTTTTTGTGTTTGCTTTTGTATTGAACTTTGGCTCGCCTTATGCGCAGCAAGTGATAAATGAATGGAAAACTAAAAAATTGAGTA